GTCTGTCCGTCTGTCCGTCTGTCCGTCTGTCCGTATGTATGAACGCGTCGATTTCAGAAGATATAAGAGCTAGAGACTTCAAATTTTTTTTAAAATGTCCGTAATTACAGCGCGCATATCAAGTTTATCATTAAAATTCGATAACTCATCCCGATCTTTTTTTATCGATAAAAAACCTTATCGAAAACCAGTTATAAAATTATATCTTCTACACCTTTATTGCTAGAGTCTCCAAATTTTTAATGTATGCTTATATGCAATTTATACAATTTCGGTTTTTGTTAAAATTTACCCCCCACCCTTAAATTCACCCCCTCACCCTCACTTTTGTAAAAAGCGTATTTCAAATACTAGAGACTTGTGCTTTGGCAATTACATGCATATCCATGTTATAATCATAATCTGAAAGTTTCATGAAGATCGTACGTCCATAAAAAAAGTTATTAAACAATTAAGTTCTCATAGTAAGCGCACACTGCAGCCCATGCGTGTTTATGCGTGGGTGCTTGTGTGTGTATGTGTTTGTGTATGTGTGTGTATGTGTTTGTGTATGTGTGTGTGTATGTGTATGTGTGTGTATGCGTTTGTGTATGTATGCGTGTGTGTGTATGTATGCCTGTGTGTGCGTACGTGCCTGTGTGTGTGTGTGTGCGTGTTTCTTGTGTAAGCTGAAAGACGCGAAAAATTATTGAAATATCTATTGCTCCAAGGGTTCAGGGGATCTCGTAGTCGAGCAGTCTCGACTAGAGCTTTCTTACTTGTTGTCATTACTTTTGCTCCCTTCCAATCTAATCTTGCAGACAGAAAGGTATCAAGTAATTGTAAAGCTCTAACCTTATAAAGTTCTTTTCTTGTTGCCATACATTTTTTGCTTGATAATAAAAACATACATATATTGGTCATAAACAGCTGTGAAGAATCTCATAGTATAGGCTAGCGAGAGAACGGCGAGCAGCAGAGCGACACAGCGACACAGCCTGGCGCCGGACAGGAGCAACGACAAAAGGGACACTGACAGAGAACAACACTGAGAAATCTAACGGTGCTCATCCAAGGTAACGGAGCCTCTCTACAGCTAGTGAGCCAGTCCAGTGGCTCACTCAGAGCAACAGCACGGCACATGACATACGGACAGTAAGGACAAGCGACGCCATAGCTCGCGACAGCAACAACGACAGTGCCAACGAATGCACAGGCAGAGAAAACATATGAAAGCACAGCAGCAGCGCACACATTAATGCACCGGCAGAAGAACAGCAGAGAACAGCGCACAGAAAACTAACGGCGCCCCTCTGCAGCTGTGCAGCCGACGAGTCACACATACTGCAATAATACGGACGGTGACAGCTTGGCGCGCGACATCAAGAATTATTGCATAGACGAATGCAACGATCGGCCGCGCAGAGCAGAGAGAGAGAGAGAGAGAGAGAGAGAGAGAGAGAGAGAGAGAAAGAGACAGAGCAAAAGAGCAACACAAAGCCCAAGGCGCATAGCCACGCAGAGAGCTGAAGCTCAGTCCCTTTAACTCGAGCACGCGAAGAGAACGGATGATAAAGACTCTTGCCTCCTGCTATGGCTCGCCGGGATGGAGGGAAGGGAGGGAAGGTATTTGTTGGGCATGCGTCGATGCGAGGGATAGTTGGTGCGAGTAGGATGTTTGGGATAGCAGAAAAGTATAATAACGTAAATCAGTGAAAAGCCGTGATTATTAATAAGTGAAGTGGGCAGGCGTCTCAGGCCTCTATGATGCACAGCAGATCCCTGAGATCCTTCTCTGGGCTTTATATTATATGTTTTGTTTGTTAATCAAAATATAATACATATAATATACATATATTAACGTAAAACATTAAATTAAGAAGAGTGCTATCCGTAAGAACAATAATAGTTACTTAAAATTATTTATTAGACATTAAATAATAAATATTTGATTGCTTGTACTGCTTGCGCTGCTACGCCTCCAAGGAGTCGAACCTATTTTTAGCTTATCGGTAGAGGACGCTACCAATACTCAACTATCCGAATTTTCAACACGTAGAAGGGTACATTCTTAAAAAAAAAAAAAAAAAAAAAAAAAAGATAAATCAAAAACGATGATTTAATACTGATGTGGGCACATAGATGTGCGTTTAATAAACCGTTCTTTCGTAGAGCTCTCAGTACACTAAGTTACAGAAAACTCTAGGCAAGCGCTGTTTTCCTAAAGTTAGACGAATGAGTGTAAGCATATAATGCAATGAGTCGCAAGTAATTAGAGTGGTCCCGAACCTCAAGAACATATGTAGGTATAAAACTTCAACTTAAACTTAATATGAGTGATTTTGACTAAACACAGAGCTTTTGCTCATAAATATCCCGTGCTCGGTGCATCATTGACTCAGTGTGCATCGAGATGTCGAAATGTCGACAATTCTAGTGCTGATCGGAATCATCGTGACCCTGCTCTATTATGCAGCACAACATAGGTACAACTATTGGAATCGCCGTGGCATTCCACACGATGTGCCTAGGTTCCCGAAAGGCAGGCGGGCTGGCCGACGAGGCGTCAAATGGGCGTCATTTACAGGGACTATTATCTAAAGTACAAAATTAGAAATGCGCCCTTCGCTGGCTTCTATTTCTTCTTCAGGAAGACCGCGGTAGTCACTGACATGGAGCTGGTCAAACGTGTGTTAATAAAAGACTTTAGTAACTTTGAGAATCGTGGCATATTCCACAATGAACTCGACGATCCTCTGTCCGCGACATTGTTCAGCATTGAGGGTCAGAAGTGGAGGCAGTTGCGCCACAAGCTGACGCCCACCTTCACCTCCAACAAGATGAAGAACATGCTGCCCATAATTTTGAGCGTGGCCGAGGAAATGGCCAACGTCTTCAAGGAGAAGACGTTCACAGCCCAGGTCCTTGAAGTTACCGACTTGGTGGGACGCTTCACGGCCGATGTAATTGGCAACTGCGCCTTTGGGCTCCACTGCGACAGCCTGCGTGATCCAAACGCGCATTTCGTCCGCGTGGGAAAACGGGCTTTAACGGAGCGACGGTATCATGGCTTGTTTGATTTCTTCATATTTGGCTTCCCAAAGCTGGCACGTCGCATGCATCTGAAACTAACAGTAGAAGAGGTTGAGGAGTTCTATATGCGCATCATTCACGATACCATCGACTATCACCTGAGTACCAAAGAGAAGCGCAACGACTTCATGGACATGCTCATCGAAATGTACCTGAAACAGCAGGGGGGTAACACCGAAGAAGGTCTGTCGTTTGAGGAGTTGGCCGCACAGGCATTCATTTTCTTCGTAGCCGGWTTCGAAACCAGCTCCACAACCATGGGATTTGCTCTCTATGAGCTGGCCCTGCATCAGGACATACAGAACAAGCTGAGAGCGGAAATCAACGAGGTGTTGAGTAGGCACAACAATGAATACACCTACGATAATGTGAAGGAAATGAAATATCTGGAACAAGTTGTCATGGGTAAGTAAAGTCATATATCTTTCTATAATAACCTGAATACAATTGGAATATTTTAATGCAGAAACTCTACGAAAGTACCCCGTGCTACCCCATCTTACCCGAAAGGCCATCTCAGACTATTCGCCCGGAGATCCAAAGCATTATATTGAAARGRACACCTCAGTTGTAATACCYGYTTTRGGTATACACTACGATCCCGACATCTATCCGGAGCCAGACAAATTCAAGCCCGAACGCTTCACAGAGGCGGAGATTGCCGCTCGGCCAGCCTGCAGCTGGTTGCCGTTTGGTGATGGTCCGCGCAATTGCATCGGCTCACGCTTTGGCATGATGCAAACGTCTGTGGGCTTGGCCCACCTGATCAGGGCCTTCAAGTTCAGTGTGTCACCACAGACCCAAATACCCATGAAGTGGGTCACTAAAAATATACTCTTGTCAGCTGAGAACGGCATTTACTTAAAAGTGGAAAGCGTATCAAAATAAAAAGGGCAATATTATGTCTTTAACAGCAACGTTATAACTTTAACATTAGTTATATATTTATCAGTCACGTCATGTAGCTATTTCTGCTGTGTAAAACTCTTCTCTTCATTACTGATCTGTGTAAATACATATATATGTATGTATATTCACATAGAGTGCATATATACTTTGAATTGTAGAGGCGTTTGCTTTAGCAAATGCATCAAATTACTTTCTGACAATCTCATTAAGAAATGGCATATGGGCTTAAAACTGTAGAGGGTCTGCTTTAGCAAATGCATCAAATTAGTTTTTAAAAGTTTCATTTAAAAAATGCATATGGAACCGAGGTCGATCGTAACTGCTTTTACATAGCAACCCATAACCAGAACTCATATCCAAGCGCACACATTAAAGTACTGGTCAGGGTATTTTCTAGTCGTCCACTACTGACAAGAGCATGCATACTTGTTTGCTTATAGCTTATTACCATAAAGAATTTTTGTTTATGTATCTCAAGTCTTTTGATAACTTAAGTTCAAAGTTTTCTATTTACAAATATTTTCCTAATAAAATTAGTTGTGCCTATGTAAAAACTCGCTCGATTTGAGTGTTTAGCTAGCCGAGCATAATGTATAAAGAATTTTAGCTGAACCCAGTGGCCAACACCATAAACTTATATGGAGATCCTGACCTCCTAAACGTGCCGGAGCAGGCGCTATAAATGCCACAGAGTTATAGCTCTGCTACCTAGTCTAAACTATTTCTTCCAACTGATATGTCCGCCACAATTTCGCTCATCGCATGCGTCCTGGTCGCGTTCTATCTGTGGATGCGGCACTGTTTCTCCTATTTCAAACGACGTGGCATTGCGCATGAGGATCCCCGGCCAGTGTTTGGCAATGTTTTCGGCTGGCGAATCACTCAGCACACCTCGCAAATGCTGCAGAAGCTCTATGTGAAGTACAAGGACTCTGGTCCGCTGTTCGGCATATATTTCTTCATGAAGCCCTTGTATGTGGTTACGGATATGGATCTGTTGAAGCAGATCTTCATCAAGGACTTCAGCAACTTTGACAGCCGAGGCCTGTTCTACAATGAACAGGACGATCCTCTCTCGGCGCATCTCTTTGCCATCGACGGTCCCAGGTGGCACAATCTGCGGCCACGCCTAACGCCCATCTTCAGCGGAGCAAAGATGAAGCTGATGTTCCCATCGATGCTGCGCATTGCCCGCGAGCTGTCCAGTGCGGTGCATGAGCGGTGTGGCGGACACGTTGCCGCCTTGGAGGTGACCAAGCTGCTGGCCTGCTACACGATGGACACCATTGGCAGCGCCATCTTCGGCCTGGAGTGCAACAGTTTGCGCGACGCCAAGGCGCCCTTTGTGCAGATGGGCCTGAACGCGATGCTGAAGAAGCGCATCGACTACCTGTTCTGCTTATTCTTTCCCGAGCTCAGCCTCAAGCTGCACATCAAGCGGACGCCAGCCGACGTGGAGGCCTTCTACATGCGGCTGGTCAAGGACACCATCAGCCACCGGGAGGCGCACAACATTAAGCGCAACGATCTCGTTGACATCATGGTGGAGATGAAGCAGAAATACGAGCGGGGCGACACAGCCGAGGGCCTGACCATCAACGAGATCGCCGCCCAGATGTACGTCTTCATTGTGGCGGGCTTCGAGACGACGGCCACAGCTCTAGTCCTAGCCCTGTACGAGCTGGCGCGGCATGAGGACATTCAGTGCCAGCTGAGGGAGGAGATTGAGGAGGTCATTGCCAACTACGGAGAGAACGGAGAACTCACCTACGAGGCCATGCAGAAGATGAAATACCTCGAGCAGGTGATGTCGGGTAAGTAGAGGGGAAAGGAAAATTCGATGCCATTATCTCCATCATCACTCGACCATCTCGCAGAAACCCTTCGCATGTATCCCGTTGCCTCGGAGCACCTGCGCCGTGTCAATGCACACTTTGAGGTGCCCAACTATCCCAAGCACTATTTACCAGCTGGATCTCAGCTGGTCATACCCGTCTATTCCATCCATCATGATGCGACCTATTACCCGGAACCGGAAGAGTTTCAGCCTGAGCGCTTCACCGAGGAGGCCATACAGCAGCGGCCCACCTGCGCCTACCTGCCCTTCGGCCAGGGGCCTCGCATCTGCATTGGCATGCGATTCGGCCGCATGAAGCTGGCCGTGGGTCTCATCACGCTGATACGCAATTTTCGCTTTAGCCTAGCGCCCGACACCCCGCAGCCGATGCAATTCAAGAATCACTCATTCCTGCTGCATCCCAAGGAATTCCGGCTGCAGTTGGAGCCATTGAGCTAGAAGCTACGGTTAAAATTTCTAGTTATCTAGTTATTTATTTTACCGATCATCTATTTTTATAGTTTTTGCCTCTTTTTAAACTTTTCTCTAAACACTCACGATTGATAAAAACAAAACAAACGTAATACTAAATTTAGCAGCCAAACTGGTTTAACATGAATGTTGATACTGAAATCAAATAGACGAAACGTTCTAACGATCAGAGCGAGAGAGAATGAGCGGAATAAAGAGGCAAAGCGAGAGAGCGAGAGTAAAGCTCTTAAAAGCTCTTATTCATTCTCTCCCACTTCGCATACAAATTGTGAATGAACTTTAGCTACTGTAGATGCTTAAAATTCCACACAATGACAATAAAAAAAAAAATTAAATAAATAATCATATGTTTATAAGCAATAAAAAATGTTTGTTATGATACGACGCAGTTTTATACAATTGTAAAAGTGACATCATGCATGTTATTTTAATAAGAATGTATTTAGCTCGGATCATATTCTAAAATTGCTATATAATTATAAAATATACTACCATTATGCCTAAAACAAAACAAAAATCAGCAAGTGTGATTTACTACTCTTGCGTCATTACACTCGCTCTACATTCAGGTAAATGCCAGACTCGCTTCCCACCAGGAAGGTCTTCCTGTTATATTTAATGGGAATCGTTGTCTTATCGCACACTGAAAACTTAAAGTGCTTAATAAGCATTGCAAGACCAATGCGAGCCTGCATTTCTCCAAATCGCATTCCAATGCAATTTCGTGGTCCATCTCCGAAGGGAAGCCACTCCACAGAGTCGCGGTTCTTCACTTTTTCCGGCTCAAAGTTATCTGGGTTGAAGCGATTCGGTTCCGGATACAGCTTCTCATCACGATGCATAGCTGCAGACGGTATGAGAATTGTCATACCCTTCTTGATCACATAATTCGGATATCCAGGTACCACAAAATCCTCTAGGCACTCCCGATTGAGAACTGGAAGAACCGTGTATAGTCGCAAGGTTTCTAAAAAGAAGTCAAATTTATTATTAACTATTTAGTTATATTACAGTCTTGCTTACCCGATATGACCTGGTTCAAGTACTGCATATCCCTAATACACTCGTAGGTAAGATCCCCATTGTACCTGGATAGAACTTCTTTGCACTCCTCCCTCAATCGATCCTGTATATCAACATTCTGGGCTAGTTCATAGAGGACGAAGCCCATTGTCGTCGAAGAAGTTTCAAATCCAGCAGCAAAGAACAGGAAGGTCTGAGCAGCTATCTCCTCAATTGTCAGACTCGTATCCTCTCCTGTTTCGGACTTCATCAATCGATTATTTTTTAAGTCAATCAACTGGTCCATAAAATCATTGCGACGAATATTGTTTTTCTCTCTGAAGTCAACAGTTTCTCTGACGATTCTCATAAAGAATTTTTCGATGTGATCTGGTGTCATTTTCAAATGCATTCGTCGAGAAAAATTCGGAAAACTATTGAGGATCGCAATTCCCAGGGCTCCATGGCGCTGATCGGTTAAGGCACTACGACCCATGACACGGAACTCAGCTTCAGGATCCTTAAGACTGCTGCACTCAATGCCAAAGGCGACAYTACCGATAACATCCGTGGTAAACCGAGCCAGCAGCTCTCTCACCTCAATCACCGAAGACTTGTCTACCATATCTCCAAAGACCTCGACGAACTCGTGGCTTATCTTCACYACCGTGGGAAACATGTACTTCATTTTGCCAGACGTAAATGTGGATGAGAGCTTATTCCTCATAGATCTCCATTTATGGCCATCTAATAGGAAAAGCTGCCCAGAAAGTGGGTCATCCTCGGGGTTGCTAAAGAAGCCTCGATCAGTGAACTTATTAAAGTCCTTTATCAGAATGTGCTTCACCAGAAAGGGTTCCAAAATAAATGCAGCTGGACGCTGGAACCAATAGAATCCGGCAAAAGGTCCAGTTCCTTTGAATTTCCTATAGTACTGCATCCAAATGTCCAGAAATGATCGTTCAGTCTGCATGCCCTTCAGGTTGCCCATCAGAATGTGGGGCTCCTCGCAGGGAATGCCCGCATTTTGCCAGTGCTGCATATTGCGATGCATTCGCAAATACAGATAGCCCAAGAGGGCAATCACTGCCGTAAGTAATAAAATTCCGATAGCCATGGTCGTGCCCGTTGCAAGCTAGCACTCACGATAAACTGAGAGCAACAAAGCTGCGTTTTCATATTAAATGCCCGTTCGAAGCTTTCATTGTGTACATTACAATACCAAATACGGGTAGCAAAAATAGAATTCCGACAGTAAAAGCTTTTTTATTCAAGTATATCAATTGTAATCTTATACATGCTTGTGATATATATAATGCAAATATTTTTATACCCTGAACCCATTGAAAATGGGAAATCAGGGTATAATGGTTTTGTGAAAAAGTATGTAACGGGCAGAAGGAGGCGTG